CCAACATACCTCTTGTGTGTATGTGTCATGTCTGGCAAAAACTGTAGTGTCCACTGAGAGAAAGAAGACATGTAGCAGATGCTCGACTGCATTTCTTTTCCTGCTTGACTGCAGTGACTGCTCTGAGAAGTAAACAATCCACTCAGTAAAACAAACTGCTGCAAATGCTCACTATGGGTTGTATCATTCAATTATTGCCTTGCTTATTCCCTTTCCCTAAACAGCTTTATTCGAGTTCCCGTACCAATCTATATACTCCTGAATTTTTATCAGCTATATCTCTTCTCTCCAGGCAGAGCCCACATTTCCTTTTTGCTCCAAGAGTGTTTTATCTATATGCAGGATTGGATTTTTTGTTGTTGCTTTTTTGTAAGGTACTTATTCTTGGAATTAATTTCTGCTTTTTTACTAGGGGATGGCATTTCCTATAAAGTATTCAGTCTCTAAATCAGACAATGAGAGAAAAACATATGATGTCTCCCATTTTCATAATCAAAAGAGCAGCTGATGTCAGAAAGCAAGATAAAAAAGGTGACCTTAAACCAATATGGTTCATGAGGACACTGCCTTTTAGTCTCAGTGTCCAATTTATCTCTGCACATGCAGGGTGAAGACTGCAAAGACTAATGAGTATGGCAGAAACATATGCAGTAATTCATCATCGTAACAAAGCATAACACAATTATCAGGAATTTCCTGTAGGCTTGCCATGATTACATGGAAACAAATTGTTTGGTCCGCTCAGTTAGAAGTGCAGAAATGCTGGACCAAAAAACAGAAACGGATTGTTGCCACCTTCTTACACAAATCCTCCTTTTAGGATATGACAAATGTACAATTTGGCTTTCTTTTTTGGTTTGTACACTGAAATTGTATTCATTCAGTGCCTGGCCAAGTAGGTCTCCATATTCTGCAACAGCACACACCCCAGAAAACATAGGAGGAAGAGGTAGCTGGCTGCAGGGGTAGAGGAGTTAATGGATGTAATCACTACACCTTTCTCATGCTTGCTGAAGACTTCAATGCAGCAAAAAGTTCTCAAGTAAGACTAGAAGGAAGGGAAACCTTTAATTAGTTGAAATTTACTTACTTTAAAAAAAAATTGTCTGTGCTTGGTGTATCTTCCTGGGAAAAGACTAACATCAGCATCACTTTGTGAATAATTGGGTTTGGTCCTGTTCCTGGTTTTCAGCTACCTGGAGTACAGTTTAGGCTGATGTTTATTTGACTTTCCTCCCAGAGGACCACTCTTCTGTAGGAGAATTAAAGCTGTGCAATGCTTACACAGACATTTCTTGCACTTCTCATAGAGAACAAGGCCTATTCTGAGTAAGCACTAATAATAGACAACACTGCAAGTAGCTGCTTGGGGCTCACATGCCTGAGAGACATAATATTAAAGGTGAAGTCACTGCTGAAAGGAGTAGATAGATTGCATTTACTATCACAGATCTCTACTGTGTTTCAGGGATCATGCCACTTAGGTAAAGTGGGACTTTGAGAGCTAAAGTCTAATTAAAATAAGTGGGCGTTACATAACCATGCTTGGAAGGCAAATTTTCTGCAATATTCCTTAGTGACTAGAAGCTGTCTTTAAAGCATTTATACAACTCAGCTCTAGCAATTTAATGGTTGGGAGATGATGAGGAAATAAATTAGATTTTGGTACACAATGGCCAAATTAATTTCAAGGGTATATGTAACTCAGCACTTAGGACCCATAACCACGTCATGACCCATATCAACAGTAAGGTCTCAGTTTTTCAGGGAAGGTTGGGTAACATACATCACACAACTGCTTTCTAGAAGGTGCTCTCATGCATCATGACAAAAGTCATGTTTCAGGGAATGCCTTAGCTCCACAAGGATATCCATTACAGTCAGGGATGCACTGCTGAAGCCCCAGGGATGTACCTGGACAAGAGAGTGGATTTGCCCCTCTGTCCTTATTTTTTTTGCTTTGCTTTAATTGCTTTGTCTCTGTTGCTTTAATGCTTTTCTTCCTCACCTCATTTATTTTATTGATCTTGTCTTTCCTCCTGTTTCTCTCTTTCCTGGTTACTTCTAGATTAGCACAAGGTTGGGAAGTCCCACAGGGACCCCCACTTGGCCCCTTTTTGCTGAGTAAAACAGCCTGCCAAAGTGAAGATATTCTTGTCAGAAGCAGTAGGGAACATTGCTGGGAGGGCCTACCTTGGGTGTCACAGGTATTTGGTGATAATCTGTCATGCTACTGCAGAGTCCAGGTAACAGTGCAGTAATTGTGCTCCACCACTACTTCTCTAAATTACGCCAATGAAGGAACTATATAAGGTGCAAAGAGAGTTAAGCTCCCTCACTATGTCTGAGCCTGGTTTGCCAGCACTGCTTTCTTAAGGGCTGCTGCACAGAACTCAGTCTCCAGCAAGGGGGAGCCTGCTGCAATCAGTAGACACCTTATGGAGGAAAATATACCAGCTGTTAAAACCAGCCTCAAATTAATTTCACTGTATGGATGAATTCTGCCAAGTTCCTTGAATTTTCACAGACCAGTTTCACCTACCCGTAATTTACTACTCTTTAAAATGTAAACAACTTTCAAATAAGATTTTATTGCATTTGAATATAAGTCTTGTCATGTTCTTTACTTTTCTACTTCATTTCAAAGAATGTTGTTATGATTAACTCATGCATTATGGGATGCCATGTGTAATGCTCCCTTGTGACAATAACTCAAATTGCTGTTTTTGTACTACCTCCTGTCTCTCACTCTTGTTTTATTTTTACTCTGGTGTAACTAGGAGATCTACACCCTCACTCATTTGAGTAGAAATATTTTCAAGAAGATATTTCTATCTCCTTTTCCCAGCTGACTGCCAGCTCACACAGTCTAGGGCAATGGCTAAGTGAAAGAATCCAGCTAATACAGCTTTGCTTCCAGTTGCTACAGAGCTCACTTTCCCAGGAGTTCTGCTGGACCTTCATCTGTAGAGCTCAGTCACGCATCAAAACATCAGCGAGTTGTATGTGAACTGTTCGAATGCCTGGTTAGTCAATGAGGCATACAGCAAGGATTCAGTTCAAACAAGCAAGGAGCAAGGTCATATCTTTACAATTTTATTTTTTTTAAACAACACAGGTTGACTAATTACTGAGTTTCACCTATACCATTCAAAATAAGAGGCAGCACTATTAAATCTTCATTCTGGATATCAACAGAGAAAGAGAGCTTCTGGACTAACTGATCATGGAATAGAAATGATTTTTTATAATATTAATAATTCTTAACCTGATTAAAGATGCAGAGATCCATTTCATTTTACCATTTGAGTAGAAGAAATAGGGCTAAAGCTTTAAAGTCCCATAATACTGACAGCGATATGAGAACTCATATAACATGCATGGAGAACCTACAACAAGGGAAAATTCTGAAAAATCTAGGAGAGAAGAAAGTGGCAGCAGAAGACATGCAATCAAGGGAGATTTGAGGCTTTTCTTCCATCCTAGCTCTCCTTGATTACACCAGTAGTAGCCTGTAACTGTTCGCCAACTCCATATCCCAAATCCATCTAGAAAATGGTAAGAAAACTCAGGATAGGAGAATTCAGCTATCAGGAGCAGGCACAGATTGAGCACTTATTTTCTCCCAAGTGTTCTATGCACAAGTGTCCCTACAAAGAAAAACCCAGAATGAAAACAGCAAGGTCTGTGCAAATAGATGCATGAGGTTAATAACTTTTTTGAGCCTATCCAGGGCTGGCACTATGAAACTCTATCATCCTATAACAAGAAATACAGTCTAAAAGGATTTATTAAGATTATTAAGTCTCCCTCCTTGTGAGAGTAGGACTGTTCTCAAAATACTTGAAGCAGTAGTTTCTAGTTTAGCTTTAAATACACAAAACAATGGCTTTACTATTCCTTGTCTTGAAATGTATCCAGTACTCAGTGGCTTTTTCTGTTCTCCACTTGCAGTTGCTATATGTACAATAGAAAACCTCAATTTATATTAGGTGGCCATATATGATATGTTCAATCAGTAAAAACATTTTCTTTTCTGCATTTATGGGCTGTATGGTGGCAGCCTTCAGTAGCTGCCAGATATTAGGATGGAAAAGGTCTTAATCTTTCACATCACAACCTGATCACCTGTTCTTTTATCCTATTACTCCCACAGACTGAGCACCCCAAGGAACATCTCCAAACAGACTCTCTCTCCTTGCTGTCAAGGTCATTTATGGACATTTGCAGATATTCATCTATCCTTAGTCAGTAGACTGAAAGACATTTCACTTTCTTTGTACATCCTCCTCTAATAATGTTTCTCTCCGAATTGCCTCCAGTTCTCTGCACTGTTAATTAACTTTTATGCATTACCAGAAATGGATGCATCTCCGTAGTGACTTAAGTGATTTCTCTATAGCTTGTGTTTCAGTTTCCATTCATAAAACACTTCAACCTACATTAGTCAAATTGTTTCCCCCTTGTAATACTTTAGCATTTCCACAGTATCTCTCATTCTGAAGTAATAAAAGGGCAGAGCAACAGAGGAAGGTCAAATACCAGTATTTGTCTTTGCATGAAATACTCAAGTTGGTTAGGACAATAAAATATTTTCTGAGTGTTTGTCAACTCCGTATTTTCTGCATGTCAGTTGCATTATTAAGTAAGAACAGCTGAGCCTTATCTTAAATACCAGTATAATAGGACCTTAGTCGTTTAGTAATATTGTTTCATACAAAAAAAAACCCAAACAAAAAAACCCCCAGCTCAAACCTTGTAACCACATGTGTCACTGTGGCAAGGATTTCTTTAACAGACTGTAAACAGCACATAGCTTTTCACCCACATTTTAAGGACATATCTAGAATTCACATACACTTTCACTTTTTATCACCTAATTATTAGAGAGACAATTTGCAAAAGTAAACAGTTCGTACAGTGTCTGAACCTCTTAGTGTTACAATGAACATGGCTATAAAATTATTTTGTTACATAATACCAGAATGTGTCTGACTTACACAAATGTCGAATCATTTAGAAGTGTAAAGCAGAGGTTTCCCAAACTGGTGGTCTATAGACTCCTATCAGTGGTCTGCAGCAGAAGGTTTACGGCTGTCTGGTTACGTGGTATTCATTCCCTATGGATAGTGGGGAGAGAAGAGATTAACAAAGAACGGACATTGACCAAGAAAAAATATTTCAGTTTATCAACATCAGTAAAATATTTTTTGATAAAGACTGTTGCCCCACAGTTTCTGTTAATAACTTTTGCATTTTATTATGATTTTATCAAACAGATTGCCTTTACTGAAATTTTCTCTTTCAGATTGTTTCCTCTTTTCCAGTCCATCCATTTATGGGAAAAAACATTACAGAAGATGTTATTTATAGGGTGTTTTTAACAGGCAAAACACTTCTTGATCTCAGAAACAGGTAAAAAGTGAACTGTCAGCTGGCTTAGGAAGTCTGATGACACTGATGAGGGCTAAAATGCAAAAAGTGAATGTACAAGGAATGGAAGCAAGAAGAGGGAATAAAACAATTACAACTGCATGTTTTCCACAAAATCAGGAAAGCCAAAATGATCTGATGCTCAAAGGCTTCATAAAGAGGGATTCTACAAGTCCATGAGCCTGCAAAAATAAGCTGCAGTGAAAACGTGGTTGTGTTGACGGGCAGAGAAGAAGAACTAGCACTGGAAAGGTTAAATACCTTTTTTCCCTTTATCTTCACAGGCAAAGCCTGCTTCTGGACCTTTGTGTTTTGTACAGTCTGCAAAGAAGAGGGGCAACCATCAGTAGGGGAGCAGTAGTCCAGGAGCTGCCCACAGGCTGGACATACTCAAATGTAAGTGGTTCCTTTGGTTGTCCAGAGAGGCGTTCAACATGACTCTGAGGTTACTGCCTGTCACCTGGGAAAAACTGCAGCAGTCAGAGGATGTCCCTGATGACTAGAAACAAGGCTAACATACGTCTATTTTAAGGGAATGATGGTTCAACAGATACCAAGCCACGTTTCAATACACGGGGACCTTAATAGACTCAGGAACTGGGATGGGAGAAACCTCATGAAGTTCACCAAGATACCAGCTTGGAATTCTAAGCAAAATAAATTAATATATTTTTTACCACTTTGGCCTAAAAATGTTGTTAGTTTTAGGGTAGCCCCAAGTATGTTTTTGAAACAAATAAGCTGTTCAACAACCTTATTATGTTCTACTCCAGGTAAACCATGCCATATTTCAGTATATATAATTTCCATAAACAGTTCTGAATTTGGCACAATTATATACACAGACAAGCTTTGGCCTTGTTTTTGTTAGAACTGCCTCTGTGACTTTCACAATTCCCTTTTATTTCTCTGTCATTGTCTGCTTATCTTATTTAATGTCGTTATTCTAATTCCCATGCTAATAAACCCACATTAAGAGCCACAAATAGAAAGGGAAAAAGGGTGAATTACTGCAAATTACTGTCTCAAAAACACGTTTCAGACAACTTTTTTTTTTTAAAACCAGTGATGGCTAAAATCAAGTTATACATTCAAGGAATACATTCAAGAATACTTGTTTATTAAAACATAAAAACTTTTCAATATCACAAAATGAAGACTCAATTGCTCAAAGATCATGACTAACTCCAAACTTTATGAGGTCTAATGAAAGCTCTGCTTTAACTGTATTAGTTATCCAAGTAGTACAACTTGCACTGCAAGATATAAAAGATTCATGTCAGTAGAGATTTAAGCTCAGGAAAGTAGAACAATACTAAATGGTTAGTGAACTGCATTGGAATATTCCTTAAAGCAATTTCTTTTTTTCTATGTCTACATTACAATGCATTTTATTTTACCCAGCCCAGGTGAAAACAGGGTTTAGTGCTACCCCAAAATTCAAGCAAAACTTGTGGGCATCCAGATTTGCTTCACAGAGCAAACTGGTTCCAGAAAAGCAAGAAATTTTGAGAATTACTGGTTAGCCTCAAGCTTATAAGCAATAAGGAAAAAGAATAACTCTAAAGAAAGCAGCAAATTCTGTAGGAAGAACCTTTCCAGCAGTGTAATTTTGGATGCTGAAATACACTGTAGTGAAAAGCAACCTGCATGAAAGGTACACTGCAGTTCTTTCTAATGCCTCTGTTTTGGTTTTTGCCTGAGACAACAGTGAACATGGAAACAATAATTATATTGGCTTCCTATATTTCTGGTCTCTCAATAGTTTTTCCTCTCAAATATGTAAAGCCACAGCTGCATTCTCTGAGTTTTTTCAGCTTCATTATAGAGCTCCTGCAACCTGTTTTGTGCTGTTTGTGCCAGGCAATAACCAAAAAGAACAAAAACATGCTAATACTTGGAGAGATGCTATGAGCATAGCTACCTAGGCACATGCACATAACCAGAATTCACAGCGCTATCCATGAAACCTGATGCTTGGGAAAGTACAAAAAGCTTGATTTAGCCATCAGTCTTTTGTCTGAGTTCACCATAAATTTTCAATTTCCTCCAGTTACCTTAATGTTCACAGGAAAGAAGCTTGTATTCAGTTGCTTCCTACCCATTTTTTAGGCTCTTCGGATTGTGCTGCAGCTCTTGGCTAACATACAGTGGGGTCAGGTAGGTCAAACCTTGCAAAATTGGTGTTTGCCAGGTTTGATGGACAACATCAGAGCAAACAATTCTGTCCTCCTTAGCCTATGGATTTCTTTTCATTATCTATCACTATGCTTTTCACATATATCACACTTATCTATGTATATTTTCAAATAAGCATACTTGCTTGGGCTACAAGCCCCTGCTTCAACCTCACTCTATCCTTATTCCATGTTGTCAGCACCTGCCTATTGGGACTACTGCTCCCATTTTAATCTAAATCTGTTTTGGTAGACACAGTTCCTGCCACGTCCAAAAACCCAGCATGTTCCTATGCTACTTTATGCTGCCACAAGAATTTTTGCAGCCCCACACCCAAATCATGTCAGGAAACCAATGCAGATGAAAGCTTAGCAAGCAGAAAAGCAGTGAGCCTCTTTCTTCAACAGTGCTGGATTATGCCATCTTCATGTACATACTGTGGGATCAGCATTAAAAACTCTAGCTTCAGAAATTCTGACCAGTCCTGAAGTATGAACAATTAATGTTCTAAATATCCCTTAAAATACAGGTCTTGTTAGAGATCATAGTGTCTGAGGCAGGAAAGCTCTTTTCTCCCCAGCTTCAGTTTGTGTGCATGCAGACCAATTTTTTTATTCCCAAGACATGTCTGGGAAGAATCACAGCATGTGAGCTCTTCTCTGTCAGTGCCTTCTCCAAAGGGGAGGGTGATGAGTCAAAGGCCTGGGATCCCTGGTTCAGCTTAACCTGAAACACCTCAGAACCTACTCCCATGGGTTCTCAAACTGATCAACATTTTCTTCTTTCCTTATGCCGTCTGTTCTCTTTCTGTGAGCTGCATTTTTAAACATTGTTGAGACAGACAAGCATCACAGGCCATTTTATTTTTGAAGACTGGCGTGGATGGATAGAAGAGAGACGTATATTTTGATCTTTCTATGGACTTCATTTTTGTTCTTTAGCATTTTAGTCTCCTAGTTTAAATAGACAGATAGGCAATTTGAACTTGGAGCATCTGTTGCCTCAGAAGAAAACAGGATCACCATCCCTCTAAATATTCTGCTCATGTGTAGTGATCCATACCAGGCCTTATACTTCAGAAGGCTTGCATATCGAAATGTTAATTAACAGATATAGTCCATTTCCATATGTCTTCCTCTAAAGGTTACTGCAACAACATTTCCTGAATATCCTTTAACAATCTAATGGCAGCCTGGCAGTGGTCTCATGACAAATAAATTTAAGTGACATACAGGTTGCAGCGACAGAATACAAAGTATAATGAAGCAATGTACTTCTTATGGAGATGTGACATGAAAAACATTGACCTGTGGTCCTAAGTAATTTTCATAAGACAAAAGCTTTCATGGTAATAAAAAAAAATCAGTCAATGTGCTGAAAGACTAATATAATAAACCATCAGGGAAGCTATTCAGCTGTGTTAACTTCATTGAACAAAACAGGAGTCATTATTATTCCAACTTTGTACTTAAAGTTTGGTGATAACATTAGCTGCACTATAACAAAGTACCCTTCTTGATTAATGGGAGATACCTCCAGAAATAGCAGTGGGATTCAACATAGAAGTATGTGCTACCTTACTGGTCATATTGAGCAAAACCAGCTTGACATTAGGAACACGGGGCTGGACAGGGGAGATTATTAATTGCAGCGAAGCTGAAGATGGTGCAGTGGCCCTGCATGAAATATTGCCAACTCGGAGACTTTTTGTATTGACAAGCAACTAGAACATGAGGAGGATGAAAGAGGCGTCAAGGGTGCAAATATTTTGTATGGGAAGGAGAAAAGAAAAGAAGAAAATATATTTTCAGTACATGAATAGCAAACTGATTCTCAACAAATGGATACTATACTGCTTTTCAAGAGAAACAAAGCTGTGCTTCATCATATTTTTTACAAGGTGAATTTGCATTTCTATAGCCACTGAGAATGGGAGAAATTAAGTGAATCACAAGCAATTTTGGATACAGGTAGAAAAAATTCACATACAATGATTACAAACCGTGCTTTCTAACTCTAAGCTCATCCTTACACACGCACTCAGCAGTCTTCATTTCCTGAGGAGCTGAAATGTCTTAATGATTCTTTTCTTTCTGAGCCTCACTCTCATTTGCAAGTGTCTTTGCCATTCTGGTTTATAAATTAGACAGTATTTGGAAATATCAAAGTATCAAATAACCTGCTGGAAGTTTTTCAAAATGCCCAGACCTTCTTTTAAACCACTCCTTTCCATATCCTGCAGTGAATTTTGGTGACTTTACACACTTAACAAACCAGTTTTCTCCTAATCTATACCACAAGCAATTCTACTAAACCCAGTCAGGATTTTATCCAATTGCACAAGGTCCAGTCAAGTAAGCATAAAAGCCAAACAAAGGCTGTAAGCTGAGACTTTGTGGACTATACCACAGAAAGATCTGAACTATTTATTTGAGAAGAGGATAAATGGACATGCAGAGCAGAATAGAAGGGCAGAGAAAAGGAGGTAAATGAAAGAAGCAGATTATAC